CGACAACTGCGCCTCTTTCACAGTACGACTTATTTCAGGTGCTGTACGGTGCACAGAATTAGCACTTCAACGATTACTGTAGTGCATTCATTTCTTTTTTTAAAAAAAAATTATTTAACATTGTATCTGGTGAGTAAGAAATCACAAAATCTGGGCTCAACAAAAGTATTAAACCAAAAATTAAAGAAAGCAATTTTGATTGTTATTTTCGTATGTAAAACTAAAACAATTTTATAGAAAATGGCTGCTATTGCGATAGAAACATGAAGTAAAATCTTTCCTATCCTTATTAGAAAGATAAAAGAGCCTAGCAGTTTAATATAAGTGGGGAAAAGACGATGTTGTCAATAGCTGCAATCATTACAAACAACTTAAGCCTCTAATAAATTAGCCTGCCTCTTTTAATCTGATTAGGTTAGCCAATTTTAGACTGTCTCACAAACAAATTCCTTCTTGGCTCATCTTATCTTCCACTTATTGCCAAATTATGATGAAAAATATTTCATGCTTCAGACATTTGTATTAATGCAGTTTTTGAGTTCAAATTGAAATTAATTTATTTCCAGTTTAATTTTAAAATATTGAGAAGATTCACACCGTAAAACAATTTGATGATTGATTTAAGACAGATGATTAACTAATTTGCTATACAAAATTTCTTTTCATGATCATAGTTTGGAAGCGAACCATCCAAGATTGCGCGATTGGGATTGAAAGTAATTAAAATACAAACTTGCAAAAAAAATTATTTCAAAAATGAGCAATCTAAAACTTTTTTAGTTTTTCTTCGAAACTTCAATAATCATTAAGTAATTCTTTAATAAATAGCTTTATAATATTGTCAGTTTTTAGTGGATTCATGATAAGCATATATTGTAAGAGTAATTGATGCAAAAATTTAATTTTGGAAGAATAAAAAATTAATATAATATCTCATAAACGAATGAGACAAGCCTATTTGTTAGTATTAATAATATGATGTGGAACATTTAAGATAATTACTTTAGATGCTTAATTATCGAAACAAAAAAAAAAAAAGCATTTGTCATTATTTTGGATGAAAATATAAGGAATAGAAATGATTTAGAGCAATTAAAATATTTCAAAAGATACCGAAATGTGGTAATTTGAAGCGGTAACATAGATGAATATATAAGTAAAAAAAAAAAAAAAAGAGAAGAAGGTTAGCAAGAGTATCTTACGAAAGGGATAATCATAGAGCGGTGAACAATCTGTAGAAGCTCTCGATTAGCAGAAGATGTCAAATGTCATGTCATGTCATGTCATTCGAGGACACATCTCCACATCGTCTTTTTACCTTTTCCTATTTTCTTAATCATATTTTTCCATGGAAACTGTCTTTGTTATGTTTATTTAACCGAAATAGGAATAAGTTTACCCGGAAAGCTGTTATTATATATGGAAGGAAAAGGAAATATCCAATATCTTAAGTGGTTATCTTCTTTGAATAGCTTATAATGATTCAATGAACATATGACGACAGTGTTTATGCCTATTTCAATGTAATAATTGTACAAGAAATGATGCGCAAAAGGATGCAAAAGAGATTGAAAGAGTTGACAAGGTCATCTTAATATTACAATAATTACAATTACAGTATCACGCAAGAATAAATGACAAAAGTTAAAAAATAATAAGAATAATTGTTAATCATTATTGTTGTTTGGGTAAAAATTGCTATAAAAAAAATCATTCAAATTCAGTTTTTTTTTTTTTCTTCTTTTTCATAATTTTAATAAAATTTTGGAAATTACAATAAATAAAATCAACTTTAATAAAATATTCTGCAACATATATTTTACATTTAAACCTTTTTTTTTTAATATCATTTCATTTCATCTATCCTATTCATATCATTTTCTAAAATATTTACATTAATGATAAAATATTCTTATAAATAAAATTTTTAAGTAATAAATTACGAAACAATCGAAAAAAAAGAAAAATCTCTGTAATTAACAAATTAAATTATCTAATACATGAATCACTATGGAAGTCAACATTAGCTGAACTATTTAATATAGTATTAAAGCTTATCACCCAAACTTATCAGCTTTATTATTTCTACAAAATGCTTTAACGTTTTATCAACCGAAACATAAATGAAAGCGCATATGATATTTCACTTTATAAAAATTTCCAGCAGGTTATCAGTGAGGATTATAAGCTAATGAAGTTGACACATAGCTAAGCAATAACCCTTTGACAGCTTGCGCCGTTGTATTGACATAAGAATTGTTATTCAAACTAGTTTAGGCATAAATCATTAAAATTTCATTAACTCATTGAATTATTTCTTTTGCTCCTTGAATAACTTACTGTTTACTTGTAACAGTCAATTTTCTTCCAAATTTGAAATATTTGGAAAAAGAAATTTTATAATGGGGAGTATAATTTTGATATTTAAACATTATTAATCAAAAATTGAAATGTAATTAAACTATTCCACTTGTTAATTTCTAAGTGTTACAATAATAATATAAAAGTTACTGCAACTATGTTATGCCAATATGCTAACAATTAATAATATTATTAATCCTTTAAATACTTTAATCTTATTCCTTCGAGTATTCTACAAAATATATCAAATATTTTAGATTGATCAATTGAGTTCAATTATCAATCATTATCAGTGATTCTGTGAATTATCTCACACAGCTTTGTGTTTTATCTGATAATCAGTTATATTCTTTTGATTGGCTTGATCTATTTTGACTTTTGCACTTATCATTTGAAGTGATTAAAACAATGATAAGTATCAAAGTTAAAATTAAATTGGAATAAATTTAATGATTATATTTGACAAAAAAACATATAATATTTACTGTCATTCATTTATTGATATATTATTTATGACAGAAGTAGTTTTGATAACTGCAATCATTTCATGCTGTGATATGCTTACACTCATGTCATTTCACTTTCTTATCTCATTAGCGGTTCCATCTTTTGATCTTCATTTGTATTTTTCATATCACACAGACGATAATAGTTATGAACAATTTTTTGTTCGTTATCATAACATGATTGTATTGATCAAAGATAATGATGAGTACACCGAATATTTTCTGCTGTCACAATATCATCCATCTATCTTGTCAACCCCCGCTGAGTATCGTTATATTATCAAGAAATCATTTTCTTAAGTAACTGCCGCAATATATCTTTTCATATTTGAGATGTATCTTAAGTTTTCTTCAAAGGTAAAACAGAAAAAGGAAAGATTATTCAAGAAAGACAGAAATGGAAAAATCTATCTTAAAATTTTAAAGTTTTTCCAAAATTTCACTTTTAATCATTTAGTTATCAAATGAACGATGACAACATATTATTTATTGTAACAGAATGGATTTAATCACATTCTAAAGTATTTAAAAAATGTTTAATAAAATTTTCAAAATATTAATATCGTTTCCAATATCAATAGGAAATACCAAAATTTTTGCACTTATTTGATGGCTTCCCAAAGTTTGAAAAGAAGAAAGGAGAAATGTAAATTATAAATATTGAAGGAACTTCAATGTGTACTAATAATTAGCTAAATTATCATAATCAGATAAAAAAAATTGATTGATTTTGAGTTTAAAAATGTATATCGAAAACATTTTTTTTCTTCAAATAATTATTTCCGATTTAGTTTAATGAAAATAAAATTTAAAAAAAATTGACAAAAATATTTAACAAAAAAAATTGAGATTTATATAATTTTTAACTGTTCAAATTATGCTATAGCTAAAGCGGAAATTTCTCACAAATTAATTTAATCGAGTATTTTACTTGAAAATACAAAAAAGCAAACTAATAATGTGACTTTTTTTGTTGTCTTTAGTTAATGATCGATTACATTTGGTCATTTGCAAAATTTATAATTTTTCGTTTTTCGTTTTTTTTTTTTTTTTTTCTTTTTTTTTTTGTAGATAATCAAAATATTTAAAAAAATGTGGAATTCGTATGATTTTAAATCAAAAAATGATAACTTCCGAAAAAATAATTTTCTTGTAATGAATGTTTTTTTTTTTTTGCACTGAAAATTTTATATAACAAACGGAAATATAATTTCTGATATAAATTTCGCTGATTCATAAGCTATAAGTAATTAAATTTTAAAAAATACATAGCGATATGTTTAAGTGTAAATAGAATTTCGGAAGTTATTTTTCAATCAAACAATATTCTAAAAATCTGAAATGTTAAAAATAATAAGAAGATATTATTAGAGAAAAATGTTTTATAATTATAGTATACAAACTATTGCTCATTAATCTCTTATCAGATAAATTATTATCATCGATTACAAACTTTTTTTAATTTTCAAATAACACTAACAAATGAATAAATTGAAATGGAATAAATTATAATTTTTGATATTTTGTACAAAATATAATCAATTCATCACAGGGAATTATATAATGTAATCTGATAAGAGACAATGGGATGTGAAATTGATATATTTAATTTCTATTGTATTATGTGACTTCGATACCAGTACTTTAGCCAATAAAAATTCATCAATTTCTTGTTTACAACACAAATCATTGAGCAATCATTAAATCGGTTATATAAATGAATTCAGTTCGGTTATTAACAAAGTTAATCGTATAAGAATATATTTCTGTTTATGTTCAAAATACCAAATACCATCAAACCTGCAACGATGAAAAATGAAAGTTATAAGAATGAAATTGAAAACGATAACTAATTTAATTGTTCTTCAAAGTTTAATAACAAATATTGAAGCAAGTTGGGTTAAATATGCTATTTTAGCCTTTTTAAAAACTTCTAAGCAAACATTTCAATGTACACTCTAATTCTCTTTTTAAATGTTTAAAAATTAATCGATAAAATCTTGAAAACAAAAATTTCATATATTTTTGAAAAAAAAGAATTAAAATTCATACCTGTTTATGGCAAAATTTTGATTGTGATATTAAATTATTATTTTTGTCAAACGGAAGAAAATCGTCGTAGCAGTATTGCTTTCACCAATTACGTGGTCTCTTGTTTCGTTTGCTCCGTTTCCTGTGTCCTTGTTGACCGGAATAGCTCTGACTATTGGTGTCACCTGGTTGTTGCTGCTGCTGCTTTCGTGACTGATTCTGATTTCCACTTTGTTGTTGCTGATAATTGTCTTTTAATTCGATGTTATCAGAAAAATTGTCGTAAGCCTGATGTGGACAGTTTTGTTGCCCATCAATTTCCTGTTGCTTACGTGGATTATTTTTTCCGGCAGTATTATGCATATATTCTTCCGGCACATCTGAATACATTCCACCAAACTGACCTTTCCACTGATAATTTTTGCTACGCGATTTCTCACCATGATGTCTACTTCTATCTAGCTCCGGTTGTGTCTGCCGTTCAGAACCTGATCCTGCTAATCCTAACTCTTTCTTTCCAATTCGGCTTGATTCTTCACTACTATCATTTCTTGCAACTTTTGCTTCCAGTTGTTCTTTCTCCGACTGTATCATTTCTTCTTTTCCGGCAGTAATCATTTCACCGGTTCCATCCTTAGCATCAGCTTTTATCTTATTTTGTATTCCTGATAGATTCGGTTTTAATGCTGTGCTTTGTCCCATCATTGTATTGGAAGTTTTTTGTTCGAGCGGAATTTGTGAGTTCATTTTCAATAATAGTTCGGTTGCTTCGGAAGATTTAATTGCCACTGAGCTAGAAATTTCAATTCCATGCTTTTCGCTACTACTACTGTCCTTTACTGCTATTTCTTCTTCAATAGCAACATTTTCATTCTGTTCGCTTATTTTTAAACAATCCGAGAAATCCTCAATCCGAGAAATTTCTTTCTCATTCTTATTTGATAAAGCAAAACATTGTGAGGCATTGATTTCATTTCTCTCTGACAAAATTAGTGATTTCGTACCTTCAATTTCGATAAATTCTGAATTTTTCTTCATTTGCCACATTGATTGCTTATTATTACTTTCCACATTTGCGACCATTTCAGCAGTTTTTAATTCGTTTTCGATTTCAATTTCTGTCTTTTCTTCAAATCCTATATTAGTTTTATTATCAATGATCTGATTTACCGATTCATAATTTTCCCAAATTTGCTCATATGTAGGAATTAAAATTTCTGTCCAAACTAATGGCTCTAAATCAATAATTCCAATCTTTTTTACCTTTTCATTATTTCCCATTCCCTTTGTTATTTTTTGATACTCTTTGATAATATCTTTTGGTTTATTTTTCATATTCACTTTAGCATTGTTATTTAGCTGTATTTTTCCAAAATTTACACTTTCGTGAAGTCTTTTCTGAGTTATCTTTGACGTAATATTTTGCTTTAATATCTTTGCATTACTATTATTTCTAATTTTCTTTGTATGCTTTAATTCAGCTTCGCCATTATTTTTTTCCTTCAATTTTATATTTCTCGCAGTAGAAACTGCTGGTAAAGTGACAGCTGATTTTGTCACCGATTTTCTGTCAATCATTATACGATTGATTTTCTTTGTATCTTTTGATGTAGGTGGCATAGCATCTGTCGTTGACACTTTCTTCTTAGTGCCAGTTGCTGGCATTGCTTTTATGGTTGGTTTAAGTAGTGTGACATCTTTGTTGACATTTTTCAATTCATCTTGCAGAGAAGCACTGTTTTTCTCTTCCCGCATGTTCTCGAATCCAAGAGATTCGGTTGACTTTTTTATAATTATAGCATTATCTACTACAATGTTTTCATTGCTTTCTTGATCATATATTTCACATTCACTATTCGAAATATTTGATGCAAAATCAGACTTTCTCTCTTCTTCCGGCACTCGCGCACTTTCATAAACCAAAGTATTAGCTTCACAAACTTCCGTTTCCCTCTTATCCGGAAGTTTACTCTGAGTTTCGTTATTCTCTTCAATTTCAAAATTTACTATCTTTTCTTGCTGTGTTTCACAAAGTAACTGTTCCTGAAGTTTTTCACATTCAACCGATTCTTTATGTTCGTTTTGAATTTTGTTTACATCATCAAAATTTTCCACAACTTGCAGTGATTTCATATTGTCAGATCTTTCCTCAGCAGTAGATGGTAGAAATTCCTTTCCTCGTTCAACTTCTCTCAAAATTTCCTGTCTTGCATTTTCCGGATCACATTCCGATATCAACAATTCCGTTGGTTCATTTATGTAATTAGTTTGCCTTTGTTCTATAACAAATCCTTCATTTTCGGAACAGTTATCTCCGAGAAATGTTCTTTCAGATTTGTCTTGCACTGAAGGAATTTGTTCTGTAATATGATGGATTACATTTTCTTTAATATTTTTTATCTCAGGTATAATTCCTGACACAGAATATTCTGATTCTGCATGGATTTCTTTTGCAATGAGCTCTTCAAAATGATCCGTTTCACAAAAATCCGCAATAAATGAAGTTTCATGAAGATCCTCATTACTTTCTGGCACTGGATGTAGAATTCCATCAAGAATTTCTGTTGCTTCCAGTTTCTGGCATCCTGTTTTTGGAAGATAGAACCGTTGTTTACAATTATTGGCAAGATTACTTAAACCACCAATTACGTTAAGTAATTTTCCATCAATATATTGAAGTCCGATGAAAATAGTATTTGATGTGAAATCTTCCTGAACAACATTTCCGTTAACTGAATGTTGTTGCTCAGTAGGTATTACTTCACATTTCTCAAACTGCTGATGTTCGGAATTTTTCGAATTCTTATTTGTGTTATCATCCAATTCATTTTTGGTTGAGTCTTCGTCATCACATAGAGTCCAAAGTTTTTCTTGTCCTACCGGTTTCGAATTGCTCATATAATCATCACTTATTGTTGCTTGTTGATCGTCCGAAATAAAAGCATCAACCACTTTATCTTTTATTTCTGCTGCACTGTTATTAGACGCAACAAACGGTTGTATCAATTTCTGTCCCAAAATTTGATTTGCATAATTTTCAAATTCGAATAGAATCGGTTCTTGAGTTTCATTTTCAGAAGTTGTTTTACAGTTTGACGTAACACACGATTGTTGAGCGTAGAAATCATTATTTTCTTGTTGAAATATATTCTGATTTCCCAAAATTGAATCTGTATGTGTGCCTGTCGTTTCTGAAAGATCAGTAAACGGAAAACCTAGTTGGAAACATTTAGTATTAGTATTAGATATTTTTTCCGGTACATTCTGACGCTCGTCATGATACAACAGATTTTCTTCAAGCATCAAACTGCATGGATTTATTGCTTCCTGAATTTGTTTATTGCCGTATCCGGATGTAAGCTGTTGCAATTCTGAATTACCAAATGATTTCCCATCGTACAGCTCAACATTACCTTCTGATCTTTCATCATTCATCTGATCTGCCATTACTGAAACAAACAAATATTATTTAAATTTGCATAAATTATGCCTAGAAGATCATAGCAAGAAGCATTTTAATATTTCCTACAAGTTCCTATAAAGATAAATTTCTATTAGAAATGCACAAGTATGGGCAGCAGGAAGACAAATACATAAGTATGGGTAGGTAAGATAAATGAAATAAAAATGATTGATTGTTTCATGGTGAAGCAGAATGATTGAATGAAAGCAATTGAAAAAGTAAATAAAAACTACATTCAGCAACTAGGATCATTTCATATTACCATCCAAGGAATACAAATTCCTAATTTCCCTCAGTTAGTTTATTTTCAAATTAACTTTAAAATATAATGAAATGTAGAATATGACATAATACATAACATTTATAATTATTCATTATCAAATGACAACAAACATATCTGGTGGATCAATGGTTTGCATTTAATTTATTGATAATTAATAGAAATTAATTTAAATTTAAATGAAATTGGTTAATAAAGAGTAACTATCAATAGTTTTAGCTACAGAATGAAAATCTATTGAATGTGTTTGACTCATTTTGACGAAGTTAAGTATCAGGGTAGGTTAACGGAACTGTAATTAATCATGACCACAAGATTCTTTCTTATCTTAAAATTAGAATCAAAAGATGTTTGCATAAAAGAAGTGAATATTTTTTCTTTCTTTGTTGGCGACGAAAATACTTTCTAAAATTTCAATGTTTGCTTTTTTTTAGAAAAATAAAGATAAATTACTTTTGATGCTAAGAATTAATCGATATATTTTCGTTTAAACTTTTTTTTTTCTAAGCAATGATATGAGCAAAATATGCTATTTTTGATGGTTTAGAAGTTGAACTTTTTTCGAATTTCTTTCAAATGTTAACAAAAGTAGCATATGCTGCCAATCATTAAACATTAACTTTTAAAAATTGTATTAACGATAGAGGCATTTCCCTTTAAATAATATGCTCAAACTTATCAAATTTCAAAAATTCTATTAAAATCTCATTTATATTTTGTTCTTTAAATAATTTATAAATTGCAGATTTTGAAGTAATAGCAATGAATTTATTTAACAATTATACTGAAATTTAATATTTTATGATTCTCATTATCTTCATCCATCATATCAATAAACGCAGAAAATCAATTGCATATTTTCAGTTAAAATTCAGTTTTGAATTAATCAAATCCAAAAAATAATCGTTTTCAAAATTTTGTTTATTTTTTGCAAAAAATAACTTACAAACTGTTCAAAATATTTCACCATTTCAAAAAATTATTGTAGTCATAAAATATGTCAACCAGAATAAAATAACATTAAGATAAATACTAAAAAAAAAAAAAAAGAACGGAATTTCAAATGTTAGCAGTAAAGTAAACTAAATACCATTTCATCCTTTCTATCTTTGATTTTTTTTTTACAATTACTTCCTCCATAATATTTTCTTTTAATTTGTCGAAATTAAATAATAATAGAAAAGATTAAGTAATAAGTAAAATGAAAAAAGAAAAAAAAAAAGAAATGGTTTAAGCGAAGTAAATAAAAAGCATAAAAAAAAAGGTAAATTACTATAAATAAAATTTTTAAGTGAAATTAAAAAAAAGAATAAATAATTTAAATTAAATGAACAAATCAGTGAATCTAATTGTTATCCGTTCATCCAAACATTTCACTGCTAAATATCACTCTGTAACGATGCAAAAACGATCAAAAAATCAACAAATAGCTTTATAGCTTCTCTCTCTTTCATTTTATGCTTTAACAACTTTTTCGAAGCATTTCATAAATTTCAAATAATCATTGCACTAAAAGATAATTGTAAAAAAAATGAAAAGACTTATAAAATTTATTTAATAAAATGATTGTTAATATTTGACATTTTTGAAATCAATCAATAACCTATATTTTTAATGCTATTATAATCTGTATGACAGGTAGTGTTGAAATAAAATGGAATTAATTTGTAAAAATTTGAAAAAAAAAAAATTGCATGATGTTACTTTTAATAAAACTGAATAATTTCAAAGTTATTAATAATTTATCACAATATTAATTATGAAAGCAAATATCACAAATAAACATATTATAGGCTTAAGTAATAGCAAAAATAAAAACAAACCATTTTTATTTATAAATGTGCAAAAATTTTGATTTTTAAAATTAATTAGAAATTAATAATGAAAATTATCTTAACGTTTCTGTTATAAAATTAGAAAATAATGAGAACAAGAAAAGAAATAGAATTTCAAAAAAAAAAATATTTTAGTTGAGTATTGCTGATTGTATGGAATGATTAAAGAAATGGTAGTGAAAAGAGTTTAAGCAAACAGAACAACTGTGATATGTATTTTCCTCGAAATAAAATAGTCACTAAATGGTGTCTACTGGTTTTTATCGGTGATATTGATGTGTTGTTGAACACATTTCCATCCCATCCTTATCACTAAATTTACTTTGTTAAACACATGAATGAATAGCTTTCTTTTTCTTTTTTTTTAATCGACGAAAAAGCCAGATGTAAACGATTTATTTGTACGAAAAGAATATTTATAATAGCTTTAAAAATGAATAGTTTGATTTAATAGTGATTAGCTTTGATACATTATCATAGTAACAATGATAAGAATTATGCTTGAAATGAGTGAAAGATTTGATAAAATCAGGAGTAACCACTTTAAGTTTTAAATAAAGTTAGAGAAGATAAAAGTTAGGATGAGATATATTGCAAATTAATAAATAAACAAATAAATGCTAATTTTAAAATACCAATATGACATTATAATTTATTACAACTTGAAAGCCTGAAATATCCTAGAATTATAGCTGTATTTAAATTTAATAATAAATGATGCTTAAATGAATAAACTATTTGCTCTGATCCTAATGTGACACAAATTTTTGATCCGTTTTAAATATTAAACAAGAAGATAATCGTGTGATTAGCTGATAAGAAATTTCATTCTGATAAATATGCCGGGGACAAATTTTTGGATATATTTTGGTACAATTAAACAGTTTGATATTGGATGCGTCGACACTAATGAACAATGCATTTCAACAACCATAAATAAATGAGGACAATGACCTTTAGTATTTCATTTCAAGAATTTTTTCACCTTCTTGATCTCCTACCTTTCTTCTCCGTTCCTGAAGTTATTTCAATCTGTTCAGTGTGTTACAGTTATTTCATATTTTTAACTTTCAACGTTTTAATAATAAATTTACAAATTAATCGTTTGTCTTTATGTAATTTTTTTCAAATATTTAAATATTCTACAACTTATATTGGTTATTATTCAAATATGAAAAACCAGAAAATTAAAGCAAATTGGCTTCTGTGTAACTTATTTAATTGATATCAGGTATTAGTTGCTCTTAGATTCTATAGATCTCGATAGTACTAGACAATTTAAGAGAAATATTTGTTAAGTGTTTACTAAATAATTAAGAAAGTTCAACAGAGCGTTTTAATTTAACTCATTGCAGCCTATCAAATCGCCCTGAAAGAAAGCATAAGAAGAAATGATGACAAAAATGCATGATTTTGAGAAAGAGAAATACCAACTGATCGCTCTTTTCGGTATTTTCTTCATTATCATCGAAACCATCGAGTGTCAATGAAATTTGTTATTATCATTCTAACCTCAAATTGATAACTTATAATGTCACATACACTTTGGGATTCGTTTTTACCATTCATTTTATTAGTACATAAATGAATTCTTAGCATTTCTCATTCTTCAATTCTTCATCTTTGCACCGTCAGTGATTAAATCTCGTCATAGATAAGAAGAAATGATACAAAAAAGAAAATTTTACCATCATTTTAAAGAAATAAGCTAATCTTTTAAAGCTAGCAAGAAAAAAAAATAAATTTGTTTATTCAATCACTTTTGTGCATTTTTCAGAAAGGATTTTATATGCTAAAACTACATAATGCCACTTTTTGCTTATTCTAGCATATTATCTCTCCTTTATGCTAACAATTCTTTCTTGCTTGTATGTAATTTTTGAAAAAGTAAAGTGGATTATGAAGAAGCTTAAAGGATAAAGTGAGATTTCAATTGACAATTTATATAGTTTTAAGTATTTTCGCAAAATCATTGACAATTTTTTTCTCTTGTTCTCCTCTCTGATTTTGTTATCCAATTTCATTGTTATAGTCAAATGTGCAACTAAATGAAGAATGATTAGCCATATGTTATCACAGGGAGATTTGGTTAGCTATGTCTTATCAAAAGAAGCTATGACTGGCTATGTCTTATCATAAGAAGATATGGCTAGCCATGCATTATCACAAGAGGATATGACTAGCTATGTCTTATCAAAAGAAGCTATGACTAGCCATGCATTATCACAAGAGGATATGACTAGCTATGTCTTATCACAAGAAGATATGGCTAGCCATGCATTATCACAAGAGGATATGACTAGCTATGTCTTATCACAAGAAGATATGGCTAGCCATGCATTATCACAAGAGGATATGACTAGCTATGTCTTATCAAAAGAAGCTATGACTGGCTATGTCTTATCACAAGAGGATATGACTAGCTATGTCTTATCAAAAGAAGATATGGCTAGCCATGCATTATCACAAGAGGATACGACTAGCTATGTCTTATCAAAAGAAGCTATGACTGGCTATGTCTTATCACAAGAGGACATGATTAGCTATGTCTTATCAAAAGAAGATATGGCTAGCCATGCATTATCACAAGAGGATATGACTAGCTATGTCTCATCAAAAGAAGCTATGACTGGCTATGTCTTATCAAAAGAAGCTATGACTGGCTATGTCTTATCACAAGAGGACATGATTAGCTATGTCTTATCAAAAGAAGATATGGCTAGCCATGCATTATCACAAGAGGATATGACTAGCTATGTCTTATCAAAAGAAGCTATGACTAGCCATGCATTATCACAAGAGGATATGACTAGCTATGTCTTATCACAAGAAGATATGGCTAGCCATGCATTATCACAAGAGGATATGACTAGCTATGTCTTATCACAAGAAGATATGGCTAGCCATGCATTATCACAAGAGGATATGACTAGCTATGTCTTATCAAAAGAAGCTATGACTGGCTATGTCTTATCACAAGAGGATATGACTAGCTATGTCTTATCAAAAGAAGATATGGCTAGCCATGCATTATCACAAGAGGATATGACTAGCTATGTCTTATCAAAAGAAGCTATGACTGGCTATGTCTTATCACAAGAGGACATGATTAGCTATGTCTTATCAAAAGAAGATATGGCTAGCCATGCATTATCACAAGAGGATATGACTAGCTATGTCTCATCAAAAGAAGCTATGACTGGCTATGTCTTATCAAAAGAAGCTATGACTGGCTATGTCTTATCACAAGAGGACATGATTAGCTATGTCTTATCAAAAGAAGATATGGCTAGCCATGCATTATCACAAGAGGATATGATTAGCTATGTATTATCACATCTCAGTGTGATTGCAGTTTTTTTCTATTTGTAAGTAGCATATTTTTCAGAAGAATTTTTGTTTTGTACGGCAGTTTTGAATGCAATTTCATTGCTTTTCTTATTAATTCAAATTAAATAGAAAAATAAAAATATCTAAGAGTAGCGCAACTGAGCAGAATTAGTTGTGTCAACTGATAATTGATTTTATTCACTGCTCTGTCTCATTTCATCTATGATTGTGCAACACATAACTATGCACTTTCTATCCAACAATGCAAGTTTTAAGTTTGCAATTTATGCTTCAGAGATAATTTCTTTTTTTTTAAAAAAAAAAAACTGATTGAGATTGAAAAACAAGAAATTGAAATGAGTATTAATAAAATTCTTTTAAAATATGTTTAGGATTTTCTTATCAATTTTCTTATTAATACTTATGAATTCTCTCATTTGCTAAATAAATAATATCGATATCTGGTGTTCTTCAGGATTCGGATAATATGAACAATACAAACTTCATACATCTCACAACACTTGCTTATCAGCACTACCGAAATTCATCAACTTTTCAACTAAAAAGAATTGTAAGACAAATAAGTATTCAATCCGGAATACTCTGTCAAATACTTTGAATAAGTTATTTTGAACAATTGCAAAATTACTTTAACTTTTCACCCCGTTGTTCTATCCGCTATTCTTCTAGTTTTTCATAAAGATTTTCATCTCTAAAAATTTGTCATCAAATGGATCACTTAAATTTTGCTAAAATTTTCTAGTGCTTTTGCTTTCAGAATAACATGTTATCAGGAGCTGTGATACTATGTGATATATTGGGATGTCTATGCATCATATTAAATTTGTTTATAATCAGTATTATAATTAGACATCGAAAAAAGATTCTCAAGAATATCTTTTACATTCTGGTTTTTCACTGTTCTATCGTGGATTTGTTGAGAGGTTGTTGCCTAATTATTTGGGGCTTACCTCATACTCTTATCAGTAACTATACTGCTATATATGATCGTCTGTTGATTTTAAAGGTAAATGATTTGATATCATTGAGAGAAAAACTCACAATAAAATAGTTAAATTAGCATAATGCTGATAATAATGATCAATTAGCTTGCATTTTCGCATAATTTTAACATTTTCAGATAAGCAAATTCGCAACTATGATATTGCGTTCCTGTAATTTACTTACAATTTTCAATTTACTGATATTCACTTGTAATGAATTTACTGTGGTACATTATCCATTATTTTATAGACATCGTTTCAGAAGACGTATTGTTCTCATTTATTTGCTTTTTAGGTAAAATATTTTTAAAATTTTTTAACGAGTAGTTGTAGCTGCAGGTGTTAGCTTTTAGAAGATCCACTTTCCAGAATTTTTGAATAAATTAAAGCTACGAAAAGCTATTTAGAGGGATAAATCATTCAAGTATAACTTTTAGCAATCATATAGAAAAGAAATGAAATATTTATTCGATTACAGTAATTCTCAAATCAATAGTACCAATTTTTCTTTTCACTTCATGGAAACTAACTTATTACACAATTCCAAAATTTTTCACTCATTTATTCACCATTTCTAATTATTGCAGTTGGTTAATAAGCTTTATACCTGGTATTGTTTCACTAGTGTTTTCGAATTTTTTCAAATCTTCGCAAGTAACTACCATAAGTAATGATAATAATTATCAAAGCAACGGAACTTTCTACAGCACTGGCATGCGCAGTAATTGTACATTGTTTATTTTTATGAGAAATTAAAGCTTTTTAATCTCAAAACTTTGAAAATATCATATTTATAGATATTTTTTCTGTTTTGATTAGGAAAAAAAGAAAAACGAATTATTTGTTTGATTGTAGTATTTCTCGAATTAATTCTGTCAATTTTTTTCTTCACTTTAGGAGCATTGATTTTTTCTACAATCCTAAATCATAATGGGAAATGATAATACATTTAAGAAAAATAAAGTGTCCTGAAATCTTGAAATTAAATTATTGTGATTATGATAAGCAATTCTAGTAATACTTACTAAATGATTCCACGTAATTTTCAAAAAAAAATTGCATCAAATCTGTTCAGAAATTAAATTCTTATAAAGAAGTAATTTATAAAGTAATAAGCATTACTTTATAAATTACTTCTTATTCATCTACTTGTATTTCATATTATTGAAATAACAAATAAATTAAATGATAATTTATTCTAACCTCATTTGATAAATATACATATTTCTAGGGCGCATAACGAATCGTCGAACAGCGCTAATGTTTGTCAATATTGCATCAATGTTTGTGACCTTTCTTTTCTGCTATTTAAGCTTACTTATTGTGCTGGTAATTTCCTTTCACTTTTTTTACGCATATGAAATTCAAAACTAAACTTTTCCAGCTGTCATACTTTGACTGTCATCTTCTGTTGGATTTATGTTCAGTAGTAAACAGTAAACTTGAAATCTTAATCTCTTTTCCATAATTTTCGTATTCTATTTTTTAGTAGCAAAAATTTTCTAGAATTACACCTTTTTGAATAATTCTTACATTCTCTCACACTAATTACGGAAGACAATTACCAATTTTATGAGAAGACACATCAAGCATAAAAAACATTTTTATATTGGATTAATGTAAAAGAATAAACGTTTGAAGCTTTAAACTTTAAAATTAACTTAATCTGAGAATCTGAATCTAACTAATTACAGAATAAATTTCTCAGATGTTTGTAATATTCTTTTTCTAAAGTTTGTCGGAAGCTTTTTTTTAGTTTTCCTATGGTTCAATAATGTGTACAATACGACGCCTTCGTAAAGCAAACTCTATGAATGAAGGTAAGTTACCTTATTGCAAGCAATTAATTAAACTAAAAAATAAAAAAATATTAAATCGAAATTCTGTGTTGTTTTCATTTTTTTTCTTACACCGCAGATGAATTGTTGTAAAATGCTGAACAGTAATAATACAAACTGTAATATTCATTTCAGATTTATCTCTTCCACTCCGTTTAAAACGAAATGTTTCAGTTTTTAAACTAACTTCGGACAGAACCAATTCATTGCAATCTGTTTTCAGCAGAAACAACAGGTATTCATTATTTGAGATCTACTCACTAAACTTCATTTTAAAACGGTTACATTACAGCGAGAAAAGTCGTTGTCATTGGAAAAGTCATTTGATGTGCAAATATAAACACCTGGTTGTTATTGGTACCGTTCTATTTGTTTATATATTATTCCTGCTTCCTTATTCGGGAATTCAATTGGTAGCAATTCTTCATGTCACTAATGTTATTGTCGTACCATCCCATTTTGCTCTTATCAAATGGAGTCTTCAGGTAAGAATTAATAGAAACTGAAGCAAGCTTAACACATTCTTTTCCACTTTTACCGTTTCTGAAAAAGAGAATTATCATCGTATCACTATAAGCATCTTCAATATCAGCTCACTTTTTCTTTAAAATTTATAAATTTTCAGCCAAAAAGAAAATTAAACTTACAGATTCTCACTGGTTTGCATGCTATATGCCAGCCGTTATGTTATTTTCGGATGGTGGAATTTCGTCTGTTAGCTTGTTCCGGTAGGCAAATTAGACAGCAACGAAGCTTCAGTTCTAATACAATCTAGTAAGATCTTATAAAAATTCATATATCTCTTTGCTTGAATTGAAATGACTATAATTTTTTAAGGAGAATCTTACCCTAAATGTATTATTGGTGCTTAAAATTTTGTTAAATTTCATACTTCCTTAAAATTTGCATCATAGTTTTTACCTCAGTGTGAAAAAAGTTTCAGTTAAACCATATCAGTGCAATTCATCATTGAAATGAGAAGAATTAATTTCGATAGTATTATCATTATTAATTAAGTACAAAAGAATGTAACTTGTACTGAAATTTTTTTTATGCAAATAAATGTTATTTTATTAAATGCGATTGTTCATTATGCAGCATAAACGAACTAAAATGAAAGCATTATTTATTACACATTGAAAATAAGTAAACTTAAAAATATTAGCAAATGATTCTTTTCAAATGAGAATTTCAAAGGTTCATTTTAATTTGCAATTTGTCTGATGAATTGCTATTTTAGTTAATCAATCGTTTAATTATCATTCCAATTAATAGTTCAAGTCAGATAAGTAACTTTCAGTGTAATTATGATATATATTTCGCTAAATTTCTTCAAATAGTTTCTCTTTAGGTTACTATCATTACTGTTTGAATGTATAAGTTCGAGTATATGACTGATTAAACTGAAAATACAGTCGAATGAAGTATTCGAAATGTCGAAAAAATGATTGAAGAAAGTACTTGAATTAACGAAATGATGAGTGAATGATAACTCGGATTGACAAATTGATTGAGAAGGATAGATCTGCCAATAAATAGAACCCACAAATTAAGGTCAAAATAATTAAATTAACTTGAAAATGATACACATAATTATAGTCTAATTACAGATTCTATAAATGTCATATATCGAGATATCCCATAAGTTGACATGATAAGGTTGACGAAGTGATGATGACTGACAAGAAGAATAAATGGGTGACAGAATGACTGAGAGGGACACATCAATGATAGTAAATAGAACCCATAAATTAAGATTAAAGTGATTCGAAATTGACTTAAGAATGAACATATAATTACTGCATGGTTACAAGTAAAATGGATGTTAATGAAATGCGTAAGGTAAGATAGCAAATTCAGGGAGCAACTTTGCATGCAATGATATCTTCTGACTCAGTCCAGTCTATCTTGAAAACGTGACAGATACTCTTTATAAATTTAAATTTACCTAAAAAAGAGTGATAGTGAAAGTACAGAGTAACCTGTAGTTGCACTACACGCAAACCTGAATAGCTAAAATTAGCTTAGAGTTCTCTTGTTGACTTCCAATAAAACAATAAGAAATGATAGGATTGAAATGTGACATACATGGCACAAAGGCAATTCAGCTTGTATTGTCATTTATGCTTTATTACTTCACGTTTTGTACGCATAAATTAGATTGTGCACGTTGCACTTCACGTGCGTCATTGTGCTAGAATGATGTCTTGCAGTTATCTTCGTAGCTAGCTAGCATATACTACTCCAATTCTTGCATTCCAAGAGGTGTGGTAGTTAAGCGCCCGCAAAATCTTTTCTTGAGATGTTCATTTGCGCGGTTTTTTTGTTTCGAGTAAATTTAAATATTTTATTGCATGAAGTGATTCAGTAAAGATAAGCGTAACGAAGATACTTCAATGAAAGAGTTACCCTGTAGTGAGATTCCCGTGGAATTACCACTTATACGGGAATTATTGCTTGTGATCCGTGATAAAGATGATAACAGTGAAATGGAGGAGTGCATTGAAAAGTTTTGTGAAGCGTTTCGTAAGGTAACGATTTGTTTGATTTCATATCAAATAATTTATTTCTAAAAAAGAGGATGAAATGATTTTAGTATCTTCATGAAGGAGAAAGCAAATCAATAGTGCAATAATTGTAGCTTAATGATTCAACATCTTTTTCAAGAGTGCATTTTGCGCTTTTTCACTTTTGTACAGGATTGTAAGTATAATTCAGAAAGTAACTGTTAATTTGCTCTTGTGCAAATAATTTTGTTATTCTACAGTACAATATTTCTTCATGTTTTCCCGAAAAATTTAAATCTCCTCATATCAATTTATGTCCAAACTTTATCTTTTCCTTTTTTTCAAAAAAGAAAAAATAAATAAATAAATAGATAAACAAAATAAAATGAAATTTTGAGGGATTTAGGAGGAATTGAAAATAAGTGCTGTATTGGGTGAAATAGAGTTGTGGCTTTGGTATTTCACTGGCCAGTCTCAAACCGACAAAAGCGCTGATCGATGTCTTGTGTTTTTCGTGAAATGTAGCTTAAGAATGCTTTTAGAGGATACAGTTATCCCTCCACTTTTCACTCTTCTCCTGCAACATATCGAAAATGTAAGAGTAGCATGTTTCATAACATTACATATCACAAACAAAGCATCAAGTAATTTTAATGCAGTTTAAATAAACAAATTATGGAACAAATCTAAGTTAGACTTTTTTCAATATCACCACTTACCTACTCATCAAATAGATTCATAACTATTACCAACTAGTATCATAGCATGTCTGGTTAAAATAAAATTAGAGAGTTTGAGTTTTGGCTAACTGATCATTAAACCGTTTCAGATTCAATTCTCAGTCTGCGATATTTCACGATGTAGATGTTGCCGACTGATAACGTCAATTTTTGAAGATATTGAAGAGATAGAAGCAGAATATGAACCTACCAGTTGTAAAGAGGAATCATGTTTGCCTACAGAAGTGATCGATAATTTGGTCAGAATTTTGCAAGGAAGGATGTATGATAAGGTGGAGTTGATTTTTTCTGAGGTAATGCTAGTAGCTATATGTTAGCAGGTGTTATGATTAATCAGAGAATGAAAAATCATCCAGTTGTTATTTAGATCTGATTGGATCAAAATATTTTACAAGCATATAAACTTCATGTAACAACTTCAGAATCCATTTGTACGAGCCGAGGTCATTCGTTCTTTGTCTATTTTCAGCAGAATTAATGACAGAAATGAAGGTGAAAATAGATTTGATTGCACTAAGTGTAAGTCAAGTTTCGTCTATTAATTAACAGTTAAGATAATTTTACACGAATTTTTCTGTGAACACATTTTACCGAAATTTAAATGGTAATCTAAAAGTTGGAATACGCGTTTCCGAACAAGAAAATGATACGTAAAATAGAATGATAAAAAGTTAGTGATATAAAAGACTACTTCTGAAAAAGTTATATTACAAATATAAATTGCAATACTAGAAAATCCTCCATTACGTGTGAGATTTTTGAAATTCTGGTTCCAAATGTCTGCAAATTGAACAAGGAACATATTTCTTTAACCATTACACACAGTAGTGCTTTTGCAGTATCAATGGCGTTTCATTTTTCTGAAGGATATGAAGACCTGCAAATGTCTTCCTAAACTTACTTTTAGACATCATTGACGCTTTGAAGGATATTTCACGTGATGTACGCATAGAGGCAGTTCATTGTGTACCACTCTTTTCTGAAAACGATATTCAAACATTCATTTCAATGATTTTGATGGAAAGTGATAGCAATGTTCGTCGCCTTGCTTTTAGTCGAATTGCATGCAGTTTGCATGTACGTTCACTTACCGTTCAGCAGCGAATGCAGCTACTCAAAACTGCATTTACGAGCGACGATGGTACTATTTAATAATAAATTACGATTATGAACTGAGTACGCTAGAAATTAGTGGATCTTCGCAGTAATCACTGCTTACTGCTTGTTTTATATTCCTAAAATTCATATACTTTGAGATAGATTCTTCTACTCTATTTCTTTACTTTTACAACCTTGAGAAAATTAAGTTTCAGCAATGTTACGGAAAATAACTGAACGGATGATTATGAACTGGGCCGGAAATGACGCAGTACCACTACTTCGTCTTCTAGATCATCTCGATTTTCTCTCTGATTCGCAAACAAGCCAACAGGCAAACAGATATTTTTTCTAAAACTTTATTCTTCCAAATTTCTTCATTACTGAGTTAGATTTTGTTTGTTCACAAACAACTTATGCTCGCGCCAGTTTTAATTCTTTTTAATTGAATTCCTTCAAATGATTAACATTACTGCGATTGAGCTTTCAGGCACACGAAAAATTTTTGTAATTCTGTTGCATTTTCAACATTTCAGTAGAAATATTATTTATAGAATGGCAGACAATTTTTTATGCTTATAGTATGACAACTCTGATATTCAATTAATGCATAAAATTTGAATAAATTATTAAATAAATTGGAAATAAATTGCAGGCAGTTATTTCATTTCAAACAGTTATTCAGCTTGCTTTTTTTTCAGACTTACATTTTTACAGGCTTTAATGATATTTCTCAAAAATTACCAGCGGGAAATAGGAAGTGCACGAACCAGTGTAATGTTAACGAATCTGCGTGAGTTGTGTAATGCAGCACAGGCTAAGTCAGTCGTAACGAGTATGACACCATGTGCTGATTTCGTGAGCTATAATATACTTGATCGACGAAATTATGCCGAAATGCGCCACAGGTTTTGTTCTGATTCTATAATACTTTTTTGATTTCTATAATGATTCATATTATTGACATATTCGCAGATTATTTGTTTTAAATTTTATCGTTAGTCACCCAGGTCGTTGGTAATTGCTTCTAAAGGTGGTTTCGACTTAATTAGCTTTAATATGACACTGATACTGGAACTCACAGCTCATATTACTTAGTAGAGAAGTTGAAGCTATGTTAAACTGGTTTTATTTAATGATAGCTTAGTTTGTTATCATTTTTTAATATTCATTGAGTTTTTTTTTTTTATATTTCAATTTATATTAAGTGAAAATGAAATCGTCTGCCAATTTCGTTTTATAGTGAATTACATTGCAATTAACATTTTAAAGAAAAAGGACGTCAAATTGAGAAAAATTGAAATCCACTATAGCTGAGTCATTGTAAACGAAGAGTATAGCACTGAAACAAACGAGAAACAATGTATTTTTAGTTTTAATAACAATCTGTATGTGATAGCCGGTCGTATTTATATTTGGCGAAGTTTGTGTGAATATTGTCAGTTGAATGCTGTTGACGAAGCGGATCGCTTTGATTCTTTGCATGCTTTGCTTCCAAATATGGTTGATTTCGTCGACTTTCTTTACAGGTAAAATATCTTTTAAAATAGTCGCAAAAAATAGGTTGGTGATTTTTTTGAATTCTCAAAGTCAAGACTGGTTAAAAATAATTCCTTAGATTATAACTGATTATTTGGTCCTGGTAAGTTTTACATAAGTGCCGGAGATTTCGGAAACTTGTTTAAGTTGATTTTTTTTTTTCCATTTTTTACGTCTTTCCATCTCTCTTTACATTTCTTTCTTAAATTTTCATTTAAGTTTATAAGTTGTTAAAAAGTTGGTTATTTTCTGGTTTTCTTCTCTTTGTCTGTTTAGATCTTAAATTTTCAGTTTTTATGTTAATTTCAGTAGTTTGGCTACATGGACTGCCTCTGCAAATTCAGTGCAAGGAGTTCTCGAGGAGTGCATCATCTTTCAATTATGCTTGTTGACACGGTCGTTTGATCAAACGGATCGAGTTGGAATGTAAATGGAAAAAATTTTTAATTTTTCTTTAACGATCCGTGTTAATAATAATTGAAAAAGCTTACATTAATGTAAGCTTTTTTCAATTACAATTAATTCAGGAAAAAATGGCAAAATACGCTGGAAACAATCATCTCGACAAGAGATTTGCCAAACTCGGAAAAAGTTCTGGAATTCGCAGTGTATGAATTATTTGATTTATTCTATGCAAAGGAAAAGAACGTAGAGGTTAGTCCGAAGGATTTTTCAGCAACACTTTGAAATTTTCTGTTGTTATTCTCAACTTGTTTTTTTTTTTTAAATTTTATCAATATAATCCTTTTTTTTTTAAAAAAAAAAATATCCTGGAAAAAATACAGAATTTTAAAATATCTTTCTTATTGTCTTCATTGGTGTAAATTTCTGTCATCCTAATCAGTGATGTCATGTTCTGCAAATCTCGGCAGTTGTATTTTTTGACTTTTGCTGACAAAATCGTTTCGTTATCTTATTATGTATCATAGCGGATTGAATAGTCGTAAAGCTTAAAATACTTTTCGAACATATCCTTCGTTATTTGTCATTGATGTAATAGTGGATTGTATAAATAATTTGTATTATGAGTTGCAGGAATTTCTTGAATGGTGCTGTTATCGTATAAATAGTTTTTTCACACCTGATCTAAATGAAACTGAAGAACTGCCACTCGCCAGAGCTTTGCTGGCTAAGCTTGGCGTAGAATATGCCATGTCATGTGGGTCAGTTATAGAGAACGACAGCAGTTATGAGGTATTAGCTATTTTTAACTATTTTAAAGTTCGATGGTAAATAGTGGTGAGAATTCATGAATAATCTTTCCACTTTAAGCCAAAAAGTCACAACATACAACGTGCTTTGCTGTTGCTCCGTGCTATAATGCGAAATTCTTCTACTGCCAAAGTTACTACCTTTTTGCGAACTGCATTTGATCAAGTGGTTTGTCTTATCGATGTTGTTCAAACTCGATTGTCAGTTTTTTTTTTCCCTTCACATCTCAGTTCCTGTATTCTTATAATCGATCCTATTAACAATTAACAAGACTTTCTTAGAAATCTTTCACAAAATTACAATTTTGATTTTTGTCCTTTTGTTTTTATCTATTTTTGTAATTTTCAACAAAAATAAGACTTTATTGGTTGCATGAGATTAGTGCACAACCATTAATTTCGAGCATTATGTTTACTTTTATGGTCCTATTTTAAGTGTTTTAAATAGAAATTTTGGAATAACTATTCATTTTCATTGACACCATTTTTCAACCAACATCTTACAGGTAGACACGCACTGCACAACTCTGGATCCAATGATTTGGACTTCGCTTTCTGAAGTAATTGGTATTGGTATAACAATTGATGGACAGATTGCCCGTGAACGAATTCATGTGCTACGTTCTGCCATTGAAGTCGAAGGAGCACCTACACGTGTTAAGGTTCTAATTAATTTATCAATCATTTAATTTTAATGAGAAAGATATTGTGATATGATGTACTATAACTAAGTTAAAAATTGTAGATATATATATATATATATTCTCAACTTGATTTTTATAAAAGAATTTCAAGGTGATAAACAATGAATTAATGGTTAAAAAATGCAGGCATTGGCTCTTACGTCCATAGCTGCATGTGCGATTTTGAGAAGTTATACAACAACTGCTCAGCTGTATTATCCGGAAATTGTAGACAATTGTATTGTGAAGGGGCAAATGCTTTTACAAGTTTTTGAAGGATTTATATTTAGTGAGGTAAATTGTAGAGTTAATTTAAAAAAAATTAAAAAAATCGATAATTAAAAAAAAAACCTTGACCAAAAATTTCTTATTATGAAATAAATTAATTGTAACCTAACCCTTAAAAAGATAAATCTTTTTCTGAAAATGTGAACTTTCTGTATTTGCCTTTTATAAGTAAAATACAGGTGCAATGAATTGCAGAGAATGATTTTAAAATATTCATAATGGTAACAAATAGATTAATAGATAGAAAATCCGGTTTTAAAGCTAACAAACTGATAATTTTGCCAAAGCATGCATTTTGTTTGAGGATAGGTTTTGGTACTATAAAGAACAAATCAATACCGAAAAGTAAGTTTGCTTCTTTCTAGGATGATGAACTCTCTTTTGCGGCGGTTGAAAGTATTGGCAAAATACTTTATTATAGATGCCTTCGCTTCCCATCTGCATTGGCTGGCCTGCTTTTACGATATTTCGATAGCTCATGCCAACCATATCCATATACTTTCCTGAATTATTTTTTCAGTTTCTATCCCGCATCGAGCAGGTAAACATTTCCATTTTCTACTTGACTTCATTTGTTTTCTTTTTTTTTTTTTTAATTTTCTACTTTTTCAGCTGAATTTTCTTTTCTTTTTTTTTTCTTTTTTTTTTTACTACAAGTAACTTATTTTGTTTAAAATATTTTCATGTGAATTCAGATCAGTATCGGAAGGTTATAAGTTCTGGTAATGAGTCGGAGTTTCAACGTTTTAACTATGCTGATTGTATCGAGAGGAAAATTAATTGGATGTGGTAGTCTCATAACCTGACAGCGATAAATAATTATTCTCTTGTATTAAATGAATGTTGAGTAACGTGTGAATAATGTAATTTTAATAATTAATGAAAATATTACGCAAGTGTTAATTCTGTTAAAGTGTCAATCAGCACAAGCTAATCGGCGCATTAAGACATGCACTAAAAGTATTAAATGAAGCGCAAGATGATGGCAAACTATCAGTGAATGTTGATGCAAGCGGAATGATCAACTTTGTGGCTAAGACAGTCAAAAAATCAATGCTTTCAAACTCTGCTAAGAAAGAAAATTTGGAGCGAGTAGGAATGGTTGTTTTAGAATAAATAATTTTTAAAGAGAAGGAGCAAGCTTTAATGTTGTGTTATATAATAGGAAGCTTGAATATTTAATATTACTATTTTTATGTGTTATCTTCAGAAAGATTAAATTCCTGAGAATATTTTATAAAGAGAATGAAAAAAGATGGATGCTTATGCGGTAGTTGTGTGTATGAGATTAATGTTACATAGTTATAAAGCCATTTTTCTTATTTTGAGATATAGACTGTTGTAATTATTTCACAACCAATTGTTATATAGTGGATAAAATAGTTTTTGAGTAAGCAATCAAGAATAATTAGGTCTTGGTTTTGCTGGTTACAATGTAATTTTAGACCTATCCTCCGCAATTCTTTCTGATCAGTTACTTGCTAGATTGGACTATCAATAATGCCGAGGGTGATTTGAGTGTAGCTTGTGTAGGAGCACTCGCATACACTTCACCAGAGGAATTTAGTCACAACAACAAGGCATATTCTCATCTACTCAAGTTGACCACCCGATGTATCAATGTAATATTTACAAAAACTTATTGTTTAACTGTTACCATCTTTTTTTTCCAAAAATAAGTAAATAAGAGATAATACCTTATTATTTTCTTTACTTCAAACATTTTCAAATATGCAAAGATTTCATCCATTTCTTTATTCCTTTTTTCCATAATTCCGCTACCTAAGTATTTCTTTCTTTTTTGTTTATTTCATCTATATAATGTGAAAATATTACTGTTTTGATCCGTAAAGTGAAGACTGATTTGAACTTTAATTATTTCATTATCAAGAAGCTGGCTTTGTTTATTTAGTTTATTTTTGGATAAGAATTGTTTTAGTAATTCTTTTAATAATATTCATAATTTCTTCCAATATAAGCTAATTTTTTCGAAAAGTTTGGCTTTTTCAAACGTTCATGACTTCTTATAGGTATTATTTACACTTGAACTTGATAAATTGATACCAATAATTCGACGATTTGAAAGACGGCTTAAGCACATAGAATGAAATGGAGACGATTACATGGATAATGCCAAAAGTAATTCTTTAACAAAATCTTTCGTTTTCCATTGAATGTTTCATTATGGCAGAACAGAAATATCTGTGAGTCTAAGATACTTTCTAGGACGAATGCAATATGAATTACAGAGATTTTAGTGAGTAATGAATTCTGTTAGCAATATAAGTAGTCTGAACCATATCATATCGTAATTCAGCACATATGAATAAACCTTTTATTAATGATTTCTTCAAGCGTTTCAATTAACAACTCGGATGTTCAATTGATTACATAATTGATCTGTATCTGACTTCAATATCTTTGTAGGCAGTCCAGGCTAATTATGAAGAAAACTGAGCAATTTGTTTATTGACGTCCGATATTCCTTTATTATTATGCTATGTACTGCTCTTAATTAGTTTCTTGCTAACAACTATCAATAAATCCAGCTTATCGCTGACAATGAATGTCTTTTCAGGTTAAAATCATTTGCCAATAAAGCTCCTCTAGCAAATTATGAACATCGGTTGCTCATAAAAGTTGTATCGAGTTAAAATTCATTGTTTTATGAACAACATATATATTTGTGGTATATGTAAAAAAATCTAAAAGGTTATCAATTTGAGACACTTTTAATGTTGTGGTATTTTTTGAATTGTATTATTTGTTAAATTTATTTATTATTTTATGATCTGTTTTATTGATGATTTCACTAACTTTCTGTATCCAATTTTTCCTTTGTTATTCAATTTTAAAAAGCTTTTACTTGTAATTTTGATCATATTTTATTTCCATCCGGAGCAGAAGTATGGGAATGGCTTTATTCTGTATATGATCTCACCCCTGCTTGTTGTTAATAATAACGCAGCGGTATTCAGCTTTATCAATCTGTGCTGTAGTATTAAACGTTTCCAAATGTTTTTTAGAGCATAACTGATTCTCCAAGTAAGATAATGCCTCATGAAAATGTGAAAGATTTGATAATGTCTCAGTATGAAGGACATATTCATGTGACAATGATCATTAATGGAAAATTAGTTTTCTTAGCCACCAAAACATTCACTTTTCTCCAGGAATCACTTTTTTTCGGTCGCAAATTTGATGTGATATCTGTCCTGCACAGTTAATTATTCTGCTCTTAACGGTATGTCATCACGTAGGAAAGAGGGATCGTCGTCTGAAATAAGCTTATGAACGTCTGCAAGGCATTTTACATAATGAGATAAAGATTATGTGAATGCAGATAACCTTTGAACTAATGAGAAATACCTTAAATCTTGTTTTTTTTAACCTATTTTTTTAACATCTAAATTTGTTCAAATTTTTTACCCATATTGTTTTTCAGAATTCTCCATCATACAATGAAACAATAAAATAAATGATACTCAACTGCGTTACTTAATTAGATATATATAGGTAGCAATGGTGTTATCCTTCATTGCCAGATCTAGAAACAAGAAATTGTGCAAAAGTTAAAAAAATCTATTTTTTTTTTCTCATTAGTCATAGCATATCGAGAAAGACGATATTTATAGCTTGAGTTTTTTTTTTAACTATGGCAAAAAATAATTGACGATGAATGTCATCTTAAACTGATTCTCTTCTATGTCAGCATTGACCAGTTTATTTATTTTTTTTTTTGCAATCAACAATGACCTAAAATTGCTTATAAATAACTGCAAAATAATTAGGTTAATTAGGTTGTTTATGACTTCTACTTTTCTTCCTGAAATAATTTACAAATATTAATACATAATTGCATGTTACAAATCATTCTTATCGGTAATCTAGTATCATTTGTCTTTTTCTTAGCAAGAAAAAAGTTTCGAATTCCTATAATTTCAGCGCCATTAACATTGAATTTCGAAAGAATCTTCACTTTTTGTCCTCTCAATACAAAAATCGAATGTCATTGTCTGATACTTCAATAAATTTCTAGAAAACTTTGTCAAGAAATAATGGCAAATATAATAAATGGAAGAACACTGTTGACATTCACATTAACATTCACTACTTTATGCTTTCCTTAATTTTAGTCTTTGACAAAGTTTTCCAGAAATTTATTGAAATGTCAGGCAATGACATTCGATAATTTTTTCAAATATTCCAAATTTTAGATCAAAATTTACTGCAAGCAAAGCATAAAAATTCACTGAATATTGGTATAATGATAAATACGGCAAATGCTTTTGGGTCAGATGCGGTCAGAATAAGCGAATTTCGCAAATATTTTTAGAATTAGCCATATGGATTATTTAATATTATTTTCTAATATTTTTATTATTTTAGATAATATTATTAGTTTAGAAGAAATGAATTAGCTGAAAAAGGAATATATGGCATAGAGAAAATAAAGTGGCGCTGTCTTTGATAAAATCAAACATATTTTGGTGGAATTCAAAAAGATTTTTGGATATTGTAGCAGTTTTGCAATGATACCTTAATTTCAAGCAATCAATTTGAACTTAAGATTCATTGTTCATTACTCAGATCCATCTATAAGGTATATTTTATCAGATGTTATCAGCAAAACCTTCCCAACCTCAAACGTTGTGATATATTGCGAGACAACTTCAACTGCACACTCGCATATAAATTCGACATTATTGTTTAAGCCAATAACAATTTAAAGCTGACGAATATCAAAAAAAAAAAAGAAAATGAATAAGCATATGGAGTTTAATAATATCATCAATACCATTTTCTTTTTGGAATGAAATTCTTAATTTTGAAGTAATGGAGGCCCTTCAAAAGAGACATTATTGTACTGCGGTATTGATCTGACTGAGATATTTTAATAACTTTTATAGTTTAACAAATACTTGAATCAATTGATAGTGAATGTCCCAATTTGAGAAATTAATCGATAAAGTTATCTTTTAGCATTATATTACATTGTTAAGAAATGTTGAATATTCAACCTGAACACTAAAGATGTTGCCAATTTTTCTCGAAATCTTTTTTGTAGCATTGAAATTATCAGTTGTAATTTGTGTTAATCATATATCAGTTTTGGTCATTTGGAAAAAGAAACATATTGCAATTAATTTAATCAGTACAGAATGAAAGAAATTATTAAGTGACACATCATCAAAGCAAAAAATTAATTGAAAGTTTGCAACTATGTGGAATAGTTGATTTCGTTTACAAAGCATTTCTAGCATCTTTTTGTACACAAATTTATGCTGAAAAAATCATTAAACTGATTAGCACAAATCATTTATGATACATATAGGAAGTAATTCTTTTGAACGATTGAATGAAAGAACTTTAAATTGAAATAACATTCAAATTTAGGCGCAGAAAATAGATTATAAAAGCTGTCAGAGATGATATAATAAGTCATTTTAAAGTTATAAAAGTAAGCCATAAACAAAAATTAATTCCGGAAATGGCGCAGCAACTAGTGCAGCTTAATCCCGGTGATCAGGTTGACCGTTGGCATATCGATAAGAAACTCGGTGAGGGTGGCTTCGGAGCCGTTTACTTGGTATGCACTAGCATTCAAGCAATTGAAGTTGATCCGAAAAAAACCGAAAATATTATTGCAATTGATTAAATCTTTGAAAAAAAAAAAACTTATTTTAAAATCTATCTAAGAAAGTTTTTTTTTTACTGCAGGTGTCAGATCCAACCGGAAAATATGCATTAAAAGTTGAAGGTGTCAATGAACAGATTCAGGCATTTCTTCCATTGCTTTGTGATAGATATAAAAACTCGGTGTATCTCCCAAAAGTTTAACTTTACTCAGGTAGACATTTTTCAGGTACTCAAAATGGAAGTATATGTACTTACTGAGTTGAATAAACGTAACAATCGACATTTTTGCAAAATTGAAGATAAAGGACGTTTTGGGTCATTTAATTATGTCGTTATGACTTTGGTCGGCAAAAGTTTACAGGTAGTTTAAAAAAAGAACAATGAAAATAATAAGATTGAAAAAGAATTAGAAATTACTTTGATACATATGAATATCTGAAGTGTAGAAAAGATAATAAATAAAGTATAGAAATTGAAGCTTCGGAAATTTTACAAAATTTAGGACCTTCGAAAAGCAGGTCCAGGGCAACATCTCTCAATGGGTACAGCACTTGGTGCAGGAATTCAAGCGCTTGAAGCACTGGAAGATCTTCATGCAATTGGTTATCTTCACAGGTTCGTTCAACAATAAGTCATTTCCTGTCTAAGCATCCTTCCTACTTCAATTTCAGTAAAACTTTGTGATAAATTCTTCGAGTTCTGTGATGAAATGCTCATATCAAAATTATTATGTAATTAAAATATAATTCAAGAGACGTAAAACCTGGAAACTATACAATTGGTCGCCCAGAATTGAATGAATTACGCAAAATTTATGTACTCGATTTCGGGATGTGTCGAAAATTCACGAATGCTCAGGCAATTAATATTTTTGTGAATGTGGTCATGTGATGATGACAAGTTCATTTGCTTAATTAAACAAAGAATTTTAATTTTTATCTTGAAGCAATCGATTTATTATATTTTATAGAATGTTATCCGTAAGCCAAGAGCGGCAGCCGGTTTCCGTGGTACGGTACGTTATGCGCCTATATCATGCCATCTTCAACGTGAGTTATGTCGTAAGGATGATGTTGAAACATGGATTTACATGCAAGTGGAACTTACCACCGGAAATTTGCCGTGGAAAAATGTCGCTGATATGAATCAAGTTTGTTTTAGATTGATTTCTTGTCTCTCTTGGAATGAGGAATTATTTTAAGCAATTATAACATTTCTTCCCGTATCTAATCAACTTATCATTTTAGGTTGGCGAATACAAGAAGCGATGTCGCTTTGAGCCAGCAATAAATGAATTATTGGGTGGTTGCGCTCCAGAACTCAGACAAATTTTGCAAATTGTTGATGCACTTAAATACTATGATCAACCACCATATCAACAAATTTATCAACTGATGCGTCAGTCCTTTATAACTATGGGATGCCAGGAATTCCCATACGATTGGGAGAAACCCGGTGGCGGTGTATTTTGAACAAGGCATGTTAATTGGTGTCATAATGACGTGTGTCATAAATACAGGTGCGAAGTCTCTACTTAATCTTAATTTAATGGAAAGGTACTTCACGAAGATATTTACTGCTACTTACGAATGATCAACTCGTGTAATTATACTATGCTAACTCGTAAAAGTGATAAAATGATTGTCAATACTGCATAAAATTTCACTAAACCTCTTATCAGACAAGAAATCAAAAATAAACCAAACAATTGACTTTACAGGTATGTTATTTAACTCACATATATCTTCTTGTAGTATAAATCAGTTGCTAAGTTTTTTCAAATTATGAAAGTTCTTTTTTCTCGGGAGTCATAATTTTAAGTTTTGGAGATATTTAATGATGTTGATAAATTAAGAGTTATTAGAATGATTGCTTATTCAGCAACTCCAAACTCAATCGAAATAATCACAGATCATCAGAATAATCTATGACAGCTTTAAGTAACTACGACATTGTTCCATTTAAATTTTAGCACAAAATTCATGTTTATTATTCCTTTTATCCAATCTCAATTTCCTTTTTTTTTTCAATAATTTCAAAAAAAAAAAAAAAAAGAAAAATTTTTAATACTCTCGAAATTTTCGTGATTACAATATACGGATGTTGCGAAAGCATAATAAAATAACAGATGATAATAGCATCAAAAAAGGTATCAAAATCCGGTTTCATTACTTTCAAAATCTGCTGGCGTGAAAAGATCCTCGCTTACTACTTCTGAGGCTGCCACTGAAGCTATTCCATTCCTTGAACTTTTTGACTCGCTAATTCTACAATCAGATTTTAATGTAACAATAATAGAAATCGAAAAGGAATTCTTTTGGAAATTTGAGAGATTTTTTTGAAACGTACATATCGACTGATGATGGTTTATAGTGACGTATTCGTGACAGCGATCGGCTTACATATGTTAAACCTTTCCTGAATGAACTCGCAGTAGTTGTTTTAGGTGCTTCCCAGTCATACGGGTCGCTGAATCTGATAAGATAATCATTCAACCTTAGATATGTCACAATATACATTCTCTATTGGTTCGAATAAAAAAGTGACATTTTGAAATTTTCAAATTAAATTTGTGCGCTTTTTCTATTTTCCACATCAATAAATTTAAAATTTACATTTTTTATACTATTTAAAATCCAGCATAATTAAAAATAGCCTAAGTTTTTAATAAAATCTCTATTACAAAATCAAACTCTAAAGATTATTCTGCTTAATGTATACATACATAGTGAATTATTACATTTTTTGTTTCTTTTAAAATTTGACAATTACAGAAAGGCTAGGGAAGATTTACTTGTAATTACAGTTTTGCATCACTTTGTACAATCTTTCATAAATGTAGGAATAATTGGGACGAGTGTAATAATCCAATGTCCGAAGGTGTGTTGTAATCTTAAGATTAAATTAGGAATTTAAAATTTGGAATGGAAAATTTTTGGAAAATTTGAAATTTTGAAAAAAAAAACTTTTAAAAATACAATGATTTCTAAAACTTAAACGAAGTAGTGAAAAAGAATTGTTTGGACAAATGAGAAGAGAAGGAAAGTAGTAAGCTATAACTGCTCACTATCCAATCGAATTTTTAAAAATTAACCTAACAAATTCTATAAAAAACAAAAACGAACATCAAGAAGTTCTTTGGGACTATTACTGCACAATGTCGTATCGAGTGTCTGAAATTTTGCTTTACCAATTTCATCTTTACCACTGAAATTTGAATTAACTATCATTCACGCTCAATGATTGGCTGAAAATAAATTCAAATTTTGAAAATTTGAAAGAAAGGATTAAGTTCGAGGAATACCGAATATTATCCCACGGTAACGGACCTCGCATTTCCACCAAAACATACACCATCGACCATAAATCATCTGGTCGGCCTTGTTCGTTACGTGTATGGGTATTAGCTGAGCAATATCTTATCGTACCGCTGTAATTTTGTCTTTTTAATTTAAAAAATTTTAAAGACAGGATGAAACGAATGCGAATTTTAATCTTTTTGTCCTATCTTCAATCAATCCAACTATTAACCATTAAAGAAAAGATTAGAATAAGCTTTAATATTGGCGTTCCGCTTTCAGTTAAGAGATTAATGATGACAGATATTCATTTTTATTCTTTCATTTGAAATCTACGACTTCTTTATAAATATTAAGTAGATAAGCATTATTAAAAATGTGTCATTTATGATGAAAAATTATTTTAAATTAAGAAAGATATAAACCGAAACAAAGTATTTGTTCTAGGCATTCGTAATTTAACACTGCCATTATTTCGTATTACATATTCTCGTGATAAGCCAAAATCAAGAATATGAATGATATGAATAGCTTGACCTCTTCGACCAATAGCAAGATTAGCCGGTTTAACATCTCGGTGTATGTAACCAACCTTAATTATCGCTTAGTTTTCACTTCCTATTAAAAATGTATTATATTTCAATTTTCATCTTTGTCTTTGTTTTTCTTTTTTTTACAATTTATAATTTTTCTACAAAGCAAAATGTAAATAACGAACTTCATGCAATTGTTTTAAACCGTGTAAAATATTAATTCCAACTCGAACTTGTGTCGAAACGGTACATATAGGATATTGTTTAAATAACTGATTAAGCGAGCGTCCTAGAAGTGTCATCACCATATACGAATATCTGTAAAAATATTGATCGATTTGTGATTTGTTAGCAATTATTAAAGTATAAAATTATATCTTCTGAAAATTTTGATGATTGATGTTATTATAGTAAAAATATCACAAAAGCAAGTAAAGATTGTTTAAAATTTTGATAAAATTCGAAAATATGAAAAGAAGGCGAAAAAGTAAGTGAAATTCTAACGTTTCCTTCTTAGCAGATTGAAATAATTGCACCACATATTTACGACCTTCTAAACGCCTGAGTATCTGCATAGATATCATATCATAAATACAAATTTCTCTTTGTATTATAAGAATTAGAAATCAAAGAAATAATCAGAAATGAGAAAAAAATGAACAGTGAAGTAATTTTTAAAATATCTCGAATGTTACTAATTCTAGTTATAGGCTTATTTGTTTATTAATTTTAATCCAGGGATTCATTTTTGACTTCCAATCCTTCCAGAATGGTTTTTACTAATCTAAGCAATTTATAATTCAAAAAAAAAAGTTTTTTAATCTCAATTTTAATTTTATTTTAAATTCCTAATTCATATTAAACTAGATCTTTCATTATGCATACTTTAATGCTATTATTGAATAATATTTAGAAATCAATTTAAAATGAAGTTCTATTCAGTGATATCAGAAATATCGGAGGAAGTTTTCAAATATACCTGTACTTCCAATTTCAGAACACTACCACCTTCAACAAAATTTGATTCAGCTTTCAATGCTGCCTGAAATATTTTCCTAATTTTTCTTTTCTAATCTGCAAATGAAAATATCAAAAAAATTATCACTAACTTTAGCAAACGTTTGGATATCTTCCACTTTATAAACCGCACCGCAGCCACCTTCGCCTAATTTATCGATAATCCTCCAACGTTTACCAACAATCAATCCTTTTTCCAGATGTTGAGGACCTTCAGTAGTTGCTGAAATTTGTAAACAAATTATGGTTTCAGCACTCATTCTACTACAGTCAAATAGCTAAAATCGAATATGCAAAACGAGTTAGATCTTATTCATTGTTCACTCATTACAAATGATATATTGAAACAATTTTAAATATCAATATCTAAATTTTACCATAATAACATTTATAAATTCGTTTTTTTTTTTTTTTGATAAGAATTTCAATTAAAAAAATTGAAAATTTTTTCCAATCATTTCTTATTTAAATAGATCAAAAATTCAAAAATTCGCAAAGCATTTCAGAACAAAAACTGAATATACGATTGTAAATTTTTTAAAGATTATTTTGTGGCATGAAGTAAAGATCAGTGAGGAAGCAAACTTGATGGTTTCTTTTTTAGCATCTGATAAAACACTGGTAATGATGAAAAAAAGAGCACAGAATTAATAACCACAGAAGCGAACTTCACCTCAACCACAAAATTAAAATATGAAAAATAATTGTATTTCATTAAATTGCTTACATTTATACATTTGTATACGTTGATGAAAATTAGGCTATATTCATGCATTTTGATAAGAATTACTACTATAAGTACTATTAATTAGATAAATTTCAAATGAATTAGAATAAATAGAATGATCTTAACAAACTCAGTAAAGTTCTCGTCCATTTATAAACTCATTCTGTTTTGATTTTATAATATTGAATAATTTTTATCTTTGAAATGATAACAATAGCTTTGATAGGTTAAATACATCAGATAAGAACTAAAAAAAGCTCATGTCAAGTCAGTATTTAATATAGGAAAAATTCAAAAAGGATTAACTTAAGAAATCTTTTAAAACCCACTAATCAATAATTACTAGCAAAATTATGTTTAAAATTCTGTACCTTGAAACAAGCCACACTTAAAAACAATTATATTTATTATACTAAAAGTTATAATAATAAAAATCCTTTTATTAACATAAATTAAATATAATAATCTTATATACACATAAAATGTCTCTTTTTTTTGCAAATTAGCATGCTGCATCTAATCAAATTATATGAATTGTCTTTGTTATTTTACAACTTTACATAACTAAATTTAAGATTAAAAACAAAAAGTGTCAGATTTTTTTCTTTTACATTTATTTTCTTAGATTAATCTGATTTGACATGAGTCTGAATAGCAAATAATAAATTAGTAGCAAATAGCAATAAAGTAGGAAATGCGCTAATCATAAATAATACGGCCAATTCTATTGAATTAGATATTTCAGCATTAAATAGCAAATTTCAGCCATGCAATAGCTTCTCACAACAGTTTATAGTATATTAGATATCATATTATCATTAACAAATGTAGCAGTTATGGTACATTCCCGACTGATAGGTTTCGAAACGTGATAACACGTAATATGTGATGACAAG